GTTTCATGAGGAGTCTAGAGCTTCCTTCTGTCTTGGGGCCTGGGCCACTGTGGGATGCAGTTATTATTATGCCTATGCAGGTAACATAGATTTGGTCAGCTTACACTCAATGCTGCCATTTTCTATTTGCCTCCCTCCATCCATGGAGGTGGGACTCTAGAAGTCAATGGGAGTTCAGGGCACGTAGCATGTATAAAGCATGCCCACACAGCCCAACCAGGCCCATAAAAGTCAGGAAATGAACAAGTTCAAGTTCTCATAGTGTGTTAATGTGCCCACAAATGTACCTACTTTATATATTTAACAGCTCATGTAGTAATGAAAAATGCCATGTAGAACATATAGCTGCATGTACAAGGTGGGCTAATTAATATACCTATATTTGCTCCATAATTGTTTCATTCCCTATATTTTTGGTTAGTGTAACACTGCAAACTTACATAAATAGTTTATATTTTATATGGAATTTCATGTAAAAGAAACCAAGGGGGAACGACAAATACGGCAAAATTCTAATGGTATTCTTACTGAATTTCATGAGCTCGATATTCCACTTTTTTTCCCCTATAAACTGCCAATACATTAACACAAAACTTTCAGTTCTAGCATGATCATTCAGCAAGTCTATAGCTTAGCAAAAGGAAAAAGCCCCGTGGAATGTTCCAAATCTATGGGCACTAACATTTCATATTTTGTCATTCCTCACCCAGGTTATCTCTGTACAACAGCCAGATATCGAGTTTGATATTTTGTCAGTTTGAAAACTAGGGAAGCCTGGGATAAACAGTTGAATTTTAAAGTTTTCGTTATTACTAGTGAGGTCTGGGTTTAGGTTGTTTTTCTAGGACAAGCCAAAGGCCACTGAAGATGTTTTTCCATTAATTTTTCATAAGCATTTAAGCTAAAGGAGGGAAAAGGGATGGAAAGATGGGAGGACATGGTTTTCTTTGGGGAAGGAAATGAGAAGTCACCGCAAATAATTCACCTGGATAGGTAAAGGCAGGCAAACACTGTCTGCTTGTGAATCCCTGACAACTTCCTTACCTTCCTCCCGAGGGAGAGGCAGAGCCTCTCGCTCCATTTCAGACCTGCAAGGAAAGGGCTTTGAGAAGGGAACTGGGGAGAAGCACGTTCCAGGTGTGGGTTCAGCTCGGCGCTCGCCACAGGCCTCTGCAGGTGGCTCTCCTTGGCAGCGAGGCCAGGCGCAAACCCGCCGACTTGGGAAGCCTGACTTGACCCCCGCCCGCCAAGGCTGGCAGGAAGCGACGCCGGGGTTCTCTGCAAGAAGGCCGCCTCCGCTTGTCGGCCGCAGCCAAGCTCCTGTGCTCCGGGGCAAACCTCTGCAAAGTCCTAGTGAGGCAGAACTCGACCCCCCACACTCAGCAGCCTGCCGTCCACCCATCCACACCCCCGTTTCGCCCCCGCCCCAAGCTGGCAGATGCCTTGTCGCTCCTCTAAGACCGCACCCGGGTAGGGTAGCTGTAAAGACGCTCGCCAAAGCGCTCAGAGCCCCAGGGAAGGGTGGCGCCTGGCAGCTCCCTCTCCTCTGGGAGATCTGGGGTGCCAGGGCTGCCGGGGCCTAGCACAGCGTGCGCCACGAGACTTAAGGATGCGAAAACTACTGGGAGGCCGAGAGAGGTCCCGGGAGCAGGGGCGCGAGGAGGCACCTTGAGGCTACGGACTTCGCGGCCGCGGTGGCCTCGCAGGAGGAAGTGGCTTAAATGAAGAGTCCTGACTCCAGGCTTGACTCCCAGCTAAATAAACGATCACCTCCCTGAGAGGAGGCCTTGGATATGCCGTGTTCCCAGCGCCCCTGGCATAGTGGCTCCCAGGACACGCTGATCGAGCGGAGGTCAGACACCATCCACTCGCTTCCCTACTCGCCCTGCGGCGATAGGCTTTGCTGTGAAGTCCCGAACCACCTGTACCAGGACCACCCGAAAAGTAAAAGTGCAGATCTCTGGGCCTCACCCTCATCTGCTGAAACCAAGCAATCTCTCCACTGTATTTTCTCGTGCGCTGAAGTTTGAGGCTTGCAAGGCCCTAACACTGCTCTGGGCTTTTTCATTTTGGAAGCGCCCTCGTCCCTCTTTAGCTTCACCAAGAGGTAGACATTACCAGCTCAGTCTTCACAGAAGAACCTGCGGCAGAAAAAAAGTTGGGGGCTTTTCAAAGGCCCACGCAGAAGGTGGCTTCTCAGCAAACGCAGCGTCTGGCACGGTCAAGCGCTGCTAGGGTTTGGGAAATTCATGGTCCCCTCTCCCGCGTATTTGAACCAACTTATCTTGCACTTGTCCCCACCCCCATTAATTGCCAGCGTTCGGGGGAATGGAGTGATTGTTGCGGGGCGGAAAGGGAGCGCCAGTGTCGAGAGCAGAAGCTGGTTACAGCCAGCTTCGCCAGGGGCTGCTCCTGCCAAGAGGAAAGTGGGGTGGGGGCTACGGGATGGAGGGGCGCGGGACACTGGCCTGGCTGCGCGGTACTGCCAAGTGGCGGTCTCAGGATCCTTCGCCGCGCCTCTCAATCCCATCCCATCCAAACCACGCCGCGCCTGCGGCCACTAGCCCATTTTATCCCACTGCGCCCCCGTCCCTCCCCGCCGCTGGGTTCCACTCACCCACCCACTCCACCGATACTGGCTGCTGCAATCTCTACCCGGGCGTCCAGATTCCTGGCCTTGTCCTTTCTGCTGGAATCATCAATGGGATTGCGCTGCCGCCGCCAGGCAGTCCTACACTCCTGGCTAGTGCTCTTGGCCTCCGGCAGCTTGGACATCCCGCGTTTAGGGAATGGAAAGTGTGAAGTCAGTGGTGAGTAATCGGAGCATGATAGAAGTAAAACTAAATCCGCACGTTCCTACCTCCAGGCCGAGAACCCTCAGCGTCGAGGAGCCGGGTCTCTAGCGCAATCAGCCCTGTCTCTATGCGGATGTCACAGATGCAGTGCTCTGCTTGGGACAGAAGGACCCGGGAGTTGAAGGCAGGGTGTGTCCGGCTAGAGGCTCTGAGCCACTATGATCACCGTTTCCCGTTCCAGACGCAGAGGGGAAGACGCACACCAACGCGGACTTGGGCCACTTCCTGGCCTCCTCCCTTTGGAGAGGCCAGGATTAGCTCAGCAATTCCGCTCACTAGCTTCATGCCCTGTAGAAAGAAATGTTCTCTTTGCAAGTTGCTTCACCATCTGTAACAGTAGGATAACAATACCTTCTCTTTCCACAAATATTCAGAGAAGCCTACCAGATATCAGGCACCATCCTGGGCCCTGAAACACAGAAGAAGATAGCAGACAGGCCTGGATAGGAACGCGAACTCTCAAGCCAGACACGAGGTTCAAATTCAGGGTCCATCACTTGGTTAGCTATAGGACCACGGAGAAATCCAGTTCCTGGTACCCTGGCCTGCTCAACTACTAAATAGGAGTGGTAATATAACGACCCCCATAGAATGGACGGGACCAATTATCTAATGGGCATAGATAGCTGCCATGGTGGGCTGGCCCTATGGAAAGCTCAACAATTGCCGTCGTGTTACCTGGCTTCAGACCGCGCATGTGTCCACCAGTCTTGCTGACAGCTTTTCCTTAGGACCAAAGGGAGGAGATGCAGACGTGAAGAACCGAAGGACGAGTCGGCACGCTGGGTACTCTCGCGGAAGCCAACCTTGGGCTCTCCGGAACAGGCCGGGAAAGCTGAAAGCACAGTGATCCCCTTTGCTCTCCCAAGACACTGGGTCGCCTCTACGCGCGGAGGCGATTAGTCAGCGAGGTCCGCACTCGGCACATGAGGTGCTCCAGAACTAACCACCTCCGCAAACGCAACAGAGCCAGGAGGGGCCGCAGGGACCTCCAACCGCATGGCTCTTCCCAGCTTTCCCCGACACCGGCGCTGAGGACTGGGGAGCCGGGGAGCAAGCGCCAAGAGGAGCTTTTAAATTTAAATTTCCAGAGTAGCCTCAGAGAGGGAGGGAAATTCCAGTAGAAAAGCCCCTTCTGCCTCAGGACGTCATTCAGTAAAACGGACAAAAGCTGCCTCACAAGTGCTTTGAAAGCTTTTCCGGGATGGCTTAAAAATACACCTGAGTCTTCTTGTGAATATGTCTCAGAAGGTCCTGTTGACCGCCTCGCCCTGTTTTCAGGCATTTATGATCTGACTTAATATAGGAACTCCCATTTTTCCAGCACTGTGCACCAAGCACATTGCCAACCATTTTACCTGATTTTAATCTCAGTCTACAAAGTAGGTACTAAGCCTGTGGATCTTTCAATACCTGGCAGGCACACAGTAAGTCGTTGATAAGATGGAATAAGCAATCAGAATTTCTGATCGGGATTGCCTTCCCAGAAGAGACATTTGTGAACTCCAAATGAATTCTGCCCTTCCGCTGGCATCTTATGAAGGACTAAGAACCAAATGTCCCACTCAATTTCTCAATCTGACTTTAAGGCAGTCTTTCTGCCCCACCCAGAGATCTAGGGAATTACAGTAATTACAATAGGAATGTTAGCATAGCAATTAGCCCTTTAGGAATAGGCCGGGCAGCAAAGGGCAGCTAAAGCTCTACTCCACGGCCCAAAATCTTTCCAGTAGATCACAAGCGTACAATCAATCTAAGTCAAGAGCCTGTTTTCTCTGCCAGAAGAGCTTGAAGACAAGCTTCCAACCATCCCCCAGACCCCAGATTTCTTCCTATAGGGAAATTCCAGAGCCTCCTCTGCTAAGTGGAAATTGTTATCTTCCTTGAACAGGTGGCAGCCAGCTCCCAGAGGCTGTGACTGATGCAAGGCCACCCAGTTAGTGAGTGGTTTGGTTTTGTCAGTCTTGAACTCAGATTATATCCCTAAAGTCCTTGTCTCTGAGCAATCACACACAATTACCAGAACATTTACTAACTATCTCATCTTTCCCTAAACTGGTAATGTCTGTAAAGGCAGCTTACCTACCAAGAAGGAATAAGAGCTGACAATAGTGAGCTCTTACTGAATGTCAGGCATAGAGAAAAATGTCTTACATATACATTTTTAAAGCAAACATAAAGCATCCTTTCTTCTGGATCTGGCTTTAAAAGCTTTACTTGTATTTATTTAATCTTCACAACAGCCTCTCATTTTACACAAGAAGAAATGGAGGCACAAAGAGATTGTTTATTACTTCAAAATTACCTGGCTAATATGTGGCAGAGTTAAACTTAGCATCCAGACCTCTGACTGGAGAGGCCTCCCTCCAAACTGCCATTCTAGGCAACATTTAGAACATCTCTCTGCAAGGATCCTTCAGCCTCCATGGGCCTTTGGTAGCTTCCACATTTGTTTGCTTGAATCTCAGGCAAATACCTGAGAGGCCTTCCCAGGTGATCTGTGGTGTCTTTGAAAAATAACTAATGTATATTGAGTACTTACTATACACCAGGCACCAGTAATTGAGTACTTGTTATATGCCAGGCATTATTCTAAGCCATTTACAAGTTTAAAGTCATTTAATATTCAGCAAAACCCTGTGGGATAGATTCTATCACTGCCCCCAATTTACAGATGAGTAAACTAAGGCCCAATATCAAGCAATCAGTAAAAGGCAGAGTTGGGGTTAACTCTCAGGTTGTCTGGCTGCAGATGATCCTGTGCTGGATGTGAAAATGGAGGTTCCATTTGTTCAGAGGCCTCTGTATTAATATTCATCATATCTTTTTCTCCCAATTTACATACAGGGATTTCTTTCTTGGAATTTCCCTGCTTATCCAAAGTTTCAAGCAGCCTAAAGAAAACAGCAGAGCCGCTCTCTTCAGGCTTGACCTACCTCTTCATATTGGTAAAATGAGCAGCCAAGACAACTCTTGGAGGTTTGAGGCTTGAGACTGTGTCTGGAACCTGAATAACAGGAAGACCAGACTTTCCACAGCTTTAGGGCACGTTCTTACAGGTGCCAGTGGTGCAGCTACATCCACTCACGGTTTTTTGCCTATTTTCTAGGAGTTACAAAGCGCATTCACAAACATCCTTGCAAAATCGCAGAGATGTGTCCACTGCTGCTTCAGAGCTGGCCAAGGGGATGAGCCAGACAGGCTTCTACTCTGTCCTAATAATCAAATGTCTTCAACCTCCCTCCGTGGGCACATTCAACTTACTTACGTCTAAAAATATATTGTCAAGATGCTTCTTTTTTTATCAAGGCCCGATTTGGGTGGTGGGTCTGGGTAGGTGTTACCGAGAAGCCAGAAGCATTCGCACTTACACTGGCTGGTTCACCTTGGCCACATCCTCTCCACATCTCCTCCCAGGGCGTCCCCAAAGTCATTGGGTCAGAACCGAAATGGAGGCTTTGGCGGTGACCGCTTGTGATCCACAGTAGACGTCGGAAGCGGGAAGGGGCGTCCTGCGCGGTGGGACCTGCGCGGGGGCAGTGGCGCAGGCGCCAGGAGGAAGGTGCAGCACCGAGTCCGGTGCGCCGCTGCAGGCGGGTGCATGTGTGGCGACAATGAGGAGATATCGAGTTAGAGCCACGTCGAATTTCAGACCTTGACGCATGATTTCTCCTCCATCTGTTTCCCTAATGGGCACCTGGTCTCGTTGACCCTCGGAGGTCATCGCTGCTTTTGCACAAGGAGAAGCGCTCTGAGACCCGAGCTGTGCCAGCAAACTCAGGGTGGGCTACGTAGGGAGGTCCTGCGGCTTGCCCACACCAGCCTCTCAACGCTTAATGCTCCCCCCCGCATCCCGCCCCCACCCCCACCCGTTCAGGGGTCAGCCGGGACTACAGATAACCTCCGGGAATTCTCCACCAGCCTCCGGAGAGCTGGGGACTTTGGTCCTGCCTCCTTGCCTGACTGGAGCGCACCTGCAGTGTCCCCTCCAACCGCTCAGCAGTGGCGCAAGGGCTTCTTCCACTTGCACAGGTGGCGTCTCAGCGAAGGTCCGCGCCCTTCGAGTGCCTGGAAAGGAGCCATATCGAGCATGCAACCATTTTTGGAGTGGGGCATTTTTAACCCCTTGTACAGAGACGGTATCTAAGGTTCTGTGATGTATTCCTAAAAGCAGGGTTAGTAAATTCTGACCTAACTCCACTGGCCCCCGCGTGGAACTCCCTACTCCCCAAGAAAAAAAAATGCATAGATCTATATTAGGACTTCGAGCTAAACTGTGAGGCCCTGGTAGACCGGGTTACGTTTCTACTTCAGTATCTCAAGAGCTTCGCCCAGAGTCTAGCTTCAAGTGGGTAGAGGGTGGGGAAGGGAGCAGAGGAAGTGACCCCCAAAACAACCTACAAAATGTTGGCATGTAGTAGGGTTCGCTGTATCCCCTGGACCTACCATATTGGGTAACACTCGGGGACACGGATGTGGGAGTCTTAGTTTCGGCTTTCCATCTACTAGCCTCAGTTTCCCCACACCAGAAGTGGCCATAACTATTCACACCTGGTTTGTGTGAATGCCGAAAGTGAGAGGAAGGTGAATTGCACCATCTCGTATTAGCGCTGTGATCTTGAGCAAATTACTTACCCTCTCTGTGCCTAAATTTCCTGGCACGTTGTCAATGTTCCGCCGCCATCCCCCTCCACCTCCCCCCTCCCCAAAAAAAAAAAAAAAAAACCTTTGCCTGGCTTGATGGTTTTGAGGCTTGCAAATAAAGGGGGGAGCCAGGTCTCCCTTTCTCGGACTGAAGGACAAAACAGTCTCACCTCTGGGAATGGTTCTGAGCAGAATTTTCTCGCCAGTTACTAGCCCTGAGATCTTGGATAAGCTGCACTCTCCTTTGCTCCTCAGTCTCCATCTGTAAAACGAGTCACGGAAGATACAACAGTTTCTGAGGCCCCGTCCAAGTTCTGGTTTTTGCTCCTTGGTGTAGGGGGCCCTCAGGTCGGGGGAAGGGGTCCAAAGGCTAAAGTCGGGTCCTTCCCGTGGGCCCCTCCCACTCCACCCGTTTGGGCGCGGCTCTAGGGTGGAAGCCCTGGCGACAGCACAGCTTCGCTGCGGCGGGTAGGGAGGACCGCCGGACCCAGAGTTCCCGCCGCCACATATGGTCTGTGGATTTAGGTGTCAAAAACCGGAGAATTAGAAATGGTAATTTTCCGTCATTATGGCTGAAATGCGATCTGTCACAACAACTGGAACATGTCTCCGCGCTAGCAAAAATAATGTTCGTGATTAGGAATCATTACGCACGTCAAGCCGAGTCCATTAAGTTGTAGGGAGAAATTAGCCTTGACGGGCAGAATCAAACTACAAATATACAGGCCTCGCCTTCAGGAGGCCAAGCGGCGGCACTCGGGAGGAGGCGGCTGGAGTCGGTGTTTTCTTAATAGGAAACTGCCCAGAGAATTAATACTCCCTTCCCCGCACCCCTGTGGGATCCTCCCCTCCTCTTCGCACAACCTAGTCCGCACCCTAGGAGTGGGAGGCGGCGCGGAGGCATCGCAAACATTAACTGGAGGCTTTGAAGTTTCACAGGTCCCCCAGGCCACTTCCCGCCTCACCACTTCCAAGCTGTATGACCCTGGCCAAGTCACTTGACCCTCCTGAACTTTGCTTGCTACTCTGTAAAAAAGGTATAATCCCACACACTTCACGGGTTCGCCCCAGGATTCACTGAAAGGTATGGTCAGTGCAAGCACGTGAAAACCGCAGAATCTGTTCGACCTTCTTTCCTTTCCTGGAGCTCCAGTCTCTGACTCACAATGATGAAGTGATGGGGACTGCAGTGTGTGTGTGTGTGTGTGTGTGTAGTGTGTACGTGTGTGTGTGTGTGTGTGCTGGGGCTGAGGCATTGGGGTTGAGTGCCCAGAACTGGGAAACTTGCCAATCAGGCACTGAGCAAGGAGGCCAGAATCTCTGAAACTGAGGAGGGTGAACACAGAGCAACTGATGTGCCTTGCTGGGCTTGGTACCCTCCTTCCTGTCACCCCAGGTAGGAAGAACGGCACTGGGTTCTCCGCCCTGCCTGTGAGGCCCACCAGAGCTACCTGCACCCTAAGATCTGCACTGTCACCAAGGAGTGGCACATGGTAAATGAAGCCGGGATTAAAAGCCTTCCCTCTGAGACTGCTGCCCCGGTCTCCACTGGAGACAAAAAAAAAAAAAAAAAAGCCATTTACTATTCACAGCAGGTAGTTTTGGAAAGATCACCTCGCTCTTTTGCAGACGGGAAGGAAAGGAAGGAAAGGCTGAGCAGGGTCTAGAAAGGTAGGTTCCATCCAGGCTTGTGTACCTGATCATCTTTTGAGAGCTTGCTCTGTGCCATGCACCCACTCCAAAGGGCTTTAACTACGTTATCTCCTTTTATCTCCAAGCCAACCTATGAGTCTCCTTATTCCCTGGGGAGAATGAGGGCCCGAATTTAGGGAACTCGCCCAAGAGCCTGGAAGCTGGGAAGAAGCAAAAGTGGAAGATAAGCCTGGCCCTGTCTCCAAAGCCTGTTCACCACTCTGCCATTTGGAGCTGCAAAGCTTCAACCCACCAACTCTTCTATCTGGCTTTTTCGTGGTTCCTACAGGACCACAAATTCCACCTCTCAAAGAGCTCGGGAAAATGAAATGCGCTAAACGTAAAACATTTAGCTCTGTGCCTGACATAACATTGATGCCCATTTAGTCACTTACTCTCTCCGGGCCTCATTTTTCTCCTCTGTAATTACATGGTACCTTCATCTCTGCCTGGGGAAACCAACGCACGTGTGGCCAGCGCTGAGTAGTTTGGAGCCAGACAGACTAGGTTCGAACCCTAGCTCCACCGGAAATAGCTGTGGCCAGGGTAGTGTTGATCCCCAAAGTGGGGCAATGGAAGTTGAGCTGCTGGAAGGAATGAATGAAATAATTCATGGAAAGCACTTACTGCAGGGCAGGAAAGCGATTAGGCGCTAAAGAAAGCGCTGGTTACCAGAAGGCAATGATTGGCCCGCACAAGCTTGAGGTTTGCTGCCCAGGGAAAAGGAGTAGCAGCTCTCAGCCCCTTTCGGCAACTTCTCGGCTTCCCTCACATCTCTGAGCGTTAGTGATCCGGACCTCAGATCCCGTTTCCGAGGGCACCAGGGTCCTAGGGTGAGGTCCATTCAATGCTTAGGCGATCCTCCCGCAGGCCTCCGGAAGAGGCTGGGTCGTTAAGAAAGGGGGTGGGTGAAGGAGGAAGGGCTAGCACCCAGATCTGTGGCCTGGCCTCTGCCCACACCGCCCTACCTTTGGCAACTAGTGAATCAGGACTGAAACATAGGGACACAGAGGGACAGAGACTAAGTCCAGAATAGCAACGATCAGTGAGGCAGACAGAGAGATAGTGACACGGTCTCAGGATCCGCACCCACTAAAAGCGCTCTTACAAACATTTGATATTCCAGTGACCTTCCTTCACTAACTCCCAAAATAATACTGTGCCTCACAGGCGCTAATCCGCAGCATATTTTATTTTTCTTTTGGCACTGCCATTTCTTGTATCCCACTAGACTGTAAACTCCACCAAGCCAGCGATCTTTCTTCTCTGCATCCTTGGCACAGAATAGGCTTTCAGCTACTTTTGCTGAATATCTGAGCAACTAAATAAATGAACGAGCAAAGAAAGAAAGAAAGAACAAACAAGGATTTCACAACAAAGATTTTTCTCTTTAAAGAAATCTCTGTTTACGCATTTCCTAGGAGCTCATTGTTGCGATTTTCCCCTGGCTGGCCACCTTTGAAAGGACAGGACTCCATTTCTCCTTCCTGCATCCTGTGGCCACCTTCCCTACGTGCGCTTGGCTTGAATTCTCCTCAGGCCTGAGCCCTGACAGCAGGGCTCAAGCCTCTTATTAATGAGACAAGTGTATTTAGGAAGTGCCTCACTGCAGGCAGTATTTCATGGAAAACAATTAATAATATAAATCAAATATTAGACATATTAGGAAAGAATTATTTTTAAAAATTCTTCAGCAGATTCTTTTGGACAGAGGGAATGCCCTGGAAAATGAAGCTCCCCCTCAATGTATTTCTTTTCTAAACCTTAAAAGCCTATATATTGAATTTATTTTAAAACCACAATTGCAGTTGCGGATGGGATACACATAACCTATTACTTCAAAGAAGGTTTCCAGTGGATGCTGACTTCTTACTGTTTGGGTTGTTGTTACAGTCACTCCACACTTTCTGTCCACCTCTTACAATCTTTGTAAATATATTTTTTAAATGGTACATGTCCTTGTTTAACTTTGCAAAACTTGTTATCAGCTAGGCTACAAGTATTTAGTGGTGCCAACTACTCAAGGAGCATGTAACTCTTTCACTAGCCCATCTTTGTATTTGTAAATGGGGGTATTCATTTTTTCAGCAAAGTACTGTGAGCTAGGTCTTCAGGAAAGCCTGGCTCCAAATCCACCTCTGTTTCAATGGGAATTTTTCAGGAGGAAGCTTTCATTGCCTTCCCTCTTGGAGTATCAAAAAGATGTCAGGCCTGAGTCACTGGGTTCAGCTTTTCCAGATGATTGCTCCTGGACGAGTCATCAGCTTCTTTTGCTTCTCTGACTCTCAGGGAATCAATACTACCTGCCTTCAGATTCAAAAGAAGTGGCAGTGGAGAACCCGTTTTGTGTTTGTTTGTTTGTTTGTTTTTGTTTTTGTTTTAGGTTTTTTTGTTTTTTGTTTTTTTGATACGGAGTCCGGAGTCTTGCTCTGTCACCAGGCTAGAGTGCAGTGGCGCGATCTCGGCTCACTGCAACCTCATTGCCTCCCAGGTTCAAGTGATTCTCCTGTCTCAGCTTCCTGAAGTAGCTGGGACTATAGGCGCACACCTCCACACCCAGCTAATTTTTGTATTTTTAGTAGAGACGCGGTTTCACCATGTTGGCCAGGGTGGTCTCGATTTCTTGACCTCGTGATTCTCCCACCTAGGCTTCCCAAAGTGCTGGGATTACAGGCATGAGCCACTGTGCCCGCCTGGAGAATCCATTCATGAAACATAAAATGCTCCAGGTAGGAATATTTCCTCTGAAAACATTTCAGTTCTTACTACATATCAAACCCCGTGCTGGAAATCCAAAGAGCAAGGGCAATTGCTGTAAAACAACTATCCCAACAAGCAGCACTGCCTTAAGCTCATGATCCCAATGGGTACGGCGATCTAAGCCCTGCTCACCTCAACAAGGCTTCTGGGAGAAGTTGCTCTGCCAGGACCCCAAGAGGTCTAATACCCTCCCGCACCACCTCTCCTCCCCCTCCACCTCTCCTCCCCCTCCTCTACCCCAGCGCAGTCCCCACACTCCACTGCCAGCCACAACCTCTCCCAGGGTGTCTTCACACACCCCAGCTGCGACACTGCACCGCAGTGTCTTTCTAGTTTTAAAACCATTTTCCAGTATGAACCTGAAACGGGGAGTGTGTTTTCAGGGACCTTGTTTTTCAGCCCTTAGCTGGTCAGGGGAAGTTAATGTGCATTTTAATGCGGTCAAGTGGGAAATGATGGCATGTGGGGTTTGCTCACTGCCTAGGCCCCAGGAAAAATTCTGAGGGCTGAGGCCCGAGAATTTGACCCAGAAACAAGTCTGGCTCTTGCACTGATCCTTTGCCCCCCAGGACCTGCCTCCAGCAGCCCAGAAGAACAAGAATGAGAACTTGGCCAGGCTTGGAGACTGCCAGCTGGTCCTGCCGCTCCCCCCCCCACCAACTTTGCAAGGGTCTCCAGGCCCTTAGAGGGGTAGGTAGGAAAAGGTATGGTGGAAACAGACATCGATGAAGCTGAAGGATCCTGGCCTTATTTATGTGTTCTTCCAGTATGGTTTGGATGCCAAAGAGCAACAGACCCCATGCTAGGCGCAGTAGTAAGTGCATGAGGTCCCATCTCTGTATTCTCAGAGGTCCCCAGGCCAGACAGCACCAGAGCCCACTGAGCCCAGGTGATAAGGGCTAGGACCTTGGGACCTACTCAAGAGGGACTCTTAGTTCAAACCTGGGGAGTGGGTGACTCAGTGAAGACTTAAGACCTGCAAGTCAGGACCTGAAGGGATGTGGAGAACTTGGCCAAGTGAGGTCCTCCCTGCAGCCCGCTCTCTCTCTCTTATCTTCTCTGCCCCCGGGACATCTTTTTCTTTCTCACCACCTCTGTGTGGGTGTGTCTCTAACTTCCTTTCTTGCAGCCCCAGGGTCCAAGAATGCATTGCTCAACTTCTCGGAAAAGAGGAGGGGCAGTGCCCCTGGCCTCCTCCACAAAGAAGGATTCCTGGAAGCCAGTCACCCTGGTGACAGCTCTGCACCCCGTCCAGGATGTGCACGGAGGACATCCTGCTGCAGCCTGACATTGGCAGGAATACACTCGACCCGTGGGTGTGAGCAGGTTTACTACTTGGTTTTTGAATTGTCAAGAGCATGAAATCCATTGGCCCTTTCCAAAAACACAAGCCAAAAGGAAGTAGACCGGGACAAACCCCGGGCCTGCCGATCCCTCAAAACTTCGGGGACAATTCAGGCCCATTTATATGGTCACCCAAGCTCCTTAGGGACTTCTGAACCCACGCAGCCTGGTAATCTCCGATGGCCACAGTCCAGCGTGCGGCGCACAATGAGGCTGGAGCACTGGGGGACGCCGAAGTTCCGAGTTGGCATTGTGGGCATTGCCCAGCCACTCCTGCCCGGCCAGGTCCCCTGTGCCGAAAGCGGTGGCACCCCAGCGCGCATGTGCTTGTGGGTGTTGGTGCGCAATAACCCCGCTGCCCAGTTCTCCCGCGCCTGCCTGGGAGGCCTTGGTGCGCACAAGGAAAGCCATTCAAAAATGTTAATGAGCTTATTAAAATGAGCGGCTTTACTGGCTCTCCTTTTACAGCCAGCTGCCCACCCTCTCTTTCTGGTGGACCACTGGCGAGAAAGCACTTGGAATTTTTTTTTTTTTTTTCGTCTTAGGGCGTTTTTCATCTAAGGACAGGGGGCTCTCCGGCTCTCCGGAGACTAGTGCGGCCACAGAGGAGAGGACTCGCCTCAGGCCTTCTCCCTACCGAGCACAGTGAGTTTGGAAGTCCTCCCTGAGGAAAACCTGTACTTTCCAAAACAGCTGACCTCTCAGGCCCAGGAAGGCTGATGGCGGAGGCCCAAACACAGTGACCTTCCTGGGGAGGCCTGCATGGTAGCAACTTGGGGCGACTCAAATCTTTAAAACAACCACCTCCCGAACCCCACGCGCAAACAAAAATTGTGCTCAGGAAAGACACGACTCAATATTTAAAGTAGAAAGCTTTTGTCCTTTACTCCACTACAAGCCAGTGGTAAGTCTGAACTCCAAGCGTTACTCAGGAGTCTTACAATCCTTTTTTTTTTTTTTAATGGAGGCCCAGAGAAGAGAAGTTAATTGCCTAAAATTCACCAAGTCAGTGGTACAGTTGCCTCAGGCCTGAGGAGCCCACTCAGGTCCTCCGGCGGCCTTACTCTAAGTACCTATGGGGTCTTTGAGCCCTATTCGATCACCTCCCACCATCGATTTGTGCAGGCAGCGGAGAAGCTTTCACATTGTGCATCCTCCCCTAGGCGCAAGGGCACACACCAAGGTCCTAAGGAGAGAGGCTGAGTGTAGCCACAGAAGGGGACCGGGACAGAGACGGAAAGAACTCACCAAAAAGCCCCCCAGGTCCGCAGCACAGAATCCAGCGCCGGATCCTCATGCCGAGAGTTTAAAGCTGCGATTGCAGAAGCAGTGCGGATTAATGCAGGCGCTCCCATGGGACCAAGAGGGCTGCAGAGACTAGGTGCTCTCGGCTCCGCGGGCGCACAAACCGAGACGGATGGCGGCACCGGGGACTGTGAGCAGGGGCATGGAGTGGGAGGGAAAGCTGATGGGAGCCGGCTTTGAGCCTGGAGAACTCGTCACTCACGTTCACGCAAGCTTGGAGGAAACATGTGAGCTCAGGAGCGAGCTTACCTCGCGGGAGGTTCGAGGGAGGGTGACACTCTCACTCTCACAGCTACCATGTGTTCCCTTTAAACCGTCCATTTCAACAGGAACACAGTGGTGCCATTCGCAGTGGCCACGGATTCCGGGTCGGCCCTGGGTGGGCCAGAAGCCACGCTCCTACTTTCCCCGCCCGCCTCCAAGCAAAAAGCAGAAACGGCAGGACTCGGGGTGGAGCACGGGGCTGCAGGACCCTTTGCCCAGTTCTTACATTCCCAAATTGCCCCACATTCAGACTTTTGACGTTTTCTTCATAGGAGGCACAACCTCAGATATACACCCAACATGTTGAAAAGAAATGCATGGTTCAACCTATACCCTACACTAGACCACCCCTGCCTGCAGGGGCCTGGGAATCAATCTTTTATAAATGCTTTAATAATTTGAACGACCCAATTTATGTTGAATAACTCCTGTATGTGACTACAAAACCCCCAATTTATTAGGTGATGTAAACATTTATAACACAACACAATTTTTCTGCAACCCTACTTTGGCATTTCTTCATTCCTAAAACGCATCGGGAGAGCAAAAACTGGTAGAGGCTAGAGTCTCTAGACCATTGAGAGGCCCTAAGCATAGCAACCTACAGGACACTTGCAATCCCCTAAAGGACGCAGGAGTTCGAGGCAGATTGCTTTAGGTCAGCCAATCCAGCACTGCCCAGAAGTTCACAATAATAATAACGGCAATAATAACAATGAGCGCAATGTACGGTGTTTGATGGTTTTCAAAACGTTTGCATGCTTTTGTGATCTGGCCACTACAGAACCAAAGCTGGCAGATGCCAGCACGAAAGGACAATCTACCCTGCCACCTGAAATCCTAAAATATGCTTCTGGGCTTTGGACCACCATGACCTGGCTTCTAAATGACCTGTGGCAATGGATAAGTTACATCACCTCGTTAAGCCTCCGTTTCCCTATTTGTAAAATGGATGTCATGTGCACCAGGCTACAGGGAGCCTCTGAGAATCGGATCCGAACAGGATTCGGAAACGCATCACCTGTAACATTTCAGACAAACGAATGGAGTTGTTTTTGTTGTTCTTCTTACTGTTAAATATTGTTTGGTTGCTCCTCCAGCCCTCCCTCGGATTAGAAGCCTCTGCTGCTGCTTCCTTCGAGGCTATGGTCCGGCCTTCACCCATCGCGGTGGCATCAGCAGCAGCTGTGGGCCCAGAACTCCTATAACCAGCGGCGCAGCTACCCGCCTTGAGCGTTTTCCGACTTACAAAGCGTCATCAAGCATTTAGAGTCTCTTGGAGTCCCCATGAAGGTCTGTGCGGTTGCCAAGTAAGGTGGCTGGCATGCTGAAGTGGGTGGCCTGCAAGGTTGAAGCCCTGCAGTAACCGGGCAGCTGTCTAGGCCCTTGCGTGGATCTGCCTCACTTCTGAGAAAGAGTGCTGCCCAAACGCCCCTTTTTCCTCCCTTGGGTCCAGGAGCTCCTTCGACAGTTCCCCGGTTTAGGAGAACTGTCTGATTCTCTCTATTGTTCATGTTCCCTCTGCAGCGCAGGAGCCTTTCTGTAAAGCGAGTTAAACTTCGTGAACTTTGCGTTGAGAAAGCCAGATTCCACATTTTCTTCCCAAACAAGTACTGAAATGTTTGTAGAGAAGAGTGGATTGTTGGCCTGGCTGGTGCTGAGCTCCAGCGGCCGGTTAGGGAGTCAGAGCGCCAGAACCGCCGCTTGGCAGGACTTCTGAAGACCCGGAATGAGGTTCTGCCTCCATAGGATGCTCAGTGTGCCATTGCCAGGGTCTGCTCCAGAGCGCTTCCCTGAGAGGAAACCAGGAGCCGGCATTCAGCACACTCCCCACTCCTCAAAAGCCCCCAGATGTCACCCTTCCACGGGCCCAGTGTCTCAGGTTTCTGGGTACTGACATGGCTGAGCCCCAGTTCAGAGGGCAGGTACTCGTGTTTGAGCCCGATTACAACCTTCTTGAATGATGTTTCACTGTCCCCCTGTCCCCTTTCCTAGCTTGGGGGAGCAGTGAGGGTGCTGGGATTCAGTGCAGCCTGGAAGCCATTTATTTTCTAAAATGGAATCCAGTCTCAACTCACCCTGCTCATCTAAGATCGTCTCTGAGGATCCAAGCGCCTCTCACACCTAATCTCTTGAAATGAGACGCGGTTTGGGATCAGCCAGGTCTTTCTCTCTTTCTTTCTCTCTCTCTCTTTCTTTCTTTTTCTTTCTTTCTTTCCTTTCTTTCTTTTCTTTCTTTCTTTTCTTTCTTTCTTTTCTTTCTTTTCTTTCTTTCTTTCTTTCTCTTTCTTTCTCTTTCTTTCTTTTCTTTCTTTCTTTTCTTTCTTTTCTTTCTTTCTTTCTTTCTTTCTTTCTTTCTTTCTTTCTTTCTTTCTTTCTTTCTTTCTTTCTTTCTTTCTTTCTTTCTTTCTTTCTTTCTCTCACACACGTACGCGCACACACATACACACACGCAGACCCACCAGCCACATTTAGTAGCTGGTTGATCCCAAATTTGCTGCTGACAGTAAGATTTGTGGGCTTGACCCGAATCCTTGGGACCAATTTCAGTGCAAGTCACATGGTGTTCTGCCCCCTTACCAGCCATTCCCCTCACCGTGGTTTACCCATCCGTAGAGTGGGTGGATCTAATTCGAAAATCCCCAAGGCCAGTTTTAAGATTCGCTAAGCGCCAAAGGGACTGAGAGCGATGAAGAGGCCGAAGGTTCATTGGGCCCAGGCGGCAGTTGCTACTGCTCCGGTAACCAGGCCCAGAGAAGGCAGAGAGGTTCAGCGCAGCGCAGGGATGCAGGCAGTGGGTGAACAGAGATACCCTCGAGTAGGGAGCAGGACTGTTCTTCATCTTTCCAACAAAAAAAAAAAAAAAGAAGAAGAAGAAGAAGAAAAGAAAAGAAAAAGAAAAAAGAGAGAAAGGCGGAGAGAGGATAGAGGAGAAAGAAAAGGAAGAAAGTAATACCGCAAATTTTCAACGTGAGCCGCGTCTGCGGCAGAAGACCCAAGTAAAGACATTGGTCTGGGTCGCAAAATGCGGCGAGAACTCCTTGGAGGATAGGCTGGACCCAGAGGCCGCCTCCAGCTCCCAGAATCAGACCTCAGGGCATTCTCGCCAAGGCAAACCGCGGGACAGCTTGAAGGGAAACTGCCATAATCCGGATCAAACTGAATTCATTTGAGTCATTTTCCCCGGGCAGCCGGAGGCAGCCCGCGGAGCTGGCCCAGGCAGGGGGCCGGAGAGTGGGAGAGAAAGGGAAGGGGCGCCCAGGTCCGCAGGGTAGGTGGAGTCTGTGGTGGAAGATGGAGCCCCCAGGGGTGCGACCCGGACCTCAGTGCCTTTTCCTACTCGAAAGAAACTCCCTGGTTCTTTCACCGCCCAATCGGCAAAGATGGAGAACAAACTACCCTGTTAAGACGCAGCAACAAGCAACTGCCTTTTCGGAAAGGGAGAAAATCCCTCCTCCTAAAAAAACCCCTCAGTAAGTAGTGATCCCTGGGGACAAGAACGGAGGAGATTCTAGCAATATCGGAAATGTTCCAACTCTCTACAAGAAAAACACAGTCATGATGAATTGTACAATTAAAATAGAATTGTAAAGTATTAAAGAAACGAGATGATTGCAAGAACCATATGGAAGGTAGTTGGACTCGAGTGGGGGACCGGGTGGGAGTGTGCATATCACAAGGGCCTTTGCCTCTCCCTTTACATTTTGCTGTTTCCGGAAGCGGGGATAATTTTGTAAAACGCTTGTCACCAAGCTCCGCCCGGGCCGGATCGAGGGCTTGCGGGACCCCAGGCCAAGGTCTTTAGGGTATCAAAGCTTGGAGGCCCGAGGGCTGGGAAAAGTAGCAGCTGCCCTGGAGAGCGAATGGACCTTTCGGCCTCAGGTGAAATTGAAAGAAGCCTTGGCCTGGGTTTTGGTGTTTCCCGGCTCGGGTCCCGCGGACTGGAGGCCTCAACGCCAGCAGTGTGGCATTAACTCTTCCTTGCTCGCCGGGAACTCGGCTTGAGCTGCTAGTGAAGGTGAGCATTTAGCTCCAGTGAATCCGTAGCATTCTGGGGAGTCTGGGAGCGCCAGCTGCGTATTATCATCTGTAAAATGGGGTAATATATAATGGTGCCCTGCCCATTCTCTGCTCCCGGGGTAGGCTTGGTGCGGATCAAATGACGCCCTTTTGTTTAGTGCGGGGATGCGCTCTGAAACCTTGTAGAGCCCCAATTGCACCCGTCCGAGGAAAACACTCAGGTGACCCTTCTCCGAGAGACAGGTCATTCACGCCTGGTTTGCAACTAATGGCTTCAGAATTTTAGCAGGATTTTTCACTAAACCACTCTTGAAACTAAAGACTAGATAACGTAGAGAAACGCTCCTAAAATCGAAAGCAGAGAGAGAACAACAGGGTGGGGTGGGCTGGGGAGAGGTGAAAGGGTTGGTACATTGGGATGGGGGATGGACATTGGCTGGGGGTTCAACCACGGACTCTTACTAGGCTCTGAAACCAATGGTCACGGGGCGGTTGGGGAGAAATCCTAGGAATTTGTTCCCGGTTTCAGTGGGATTCCTCCATGACTCCTACAAAGTCCCCGAAGCCATGATTTCTCTGAGCTGCCCAGGTTTATACCCTGCCTGAGGAGTGGGTGGGCAGCAGGGCTGCTCCCAGGAGAGACTAAGCATCCTTGTCCAAGACCGAAAAGAGGTTGGAAAAGCCCCAGCTATTTCCAGCCTGCCGTAATACTGGTTCCCCCAAAGTCGGAAAGACAGTTTCAGAGAAAACACGGCGTCCAGGAGGGCATGTTAAACTAAAAGTTTATAAATTAAAGAAAAAATACAGCGAATAGAGCTTCCAAACTTCACAAATCTTTTTACAGTTAATACTCTAGTTGAGTGCACAGTGCCATTAAGGAGGCGAAAAGCGGCGAGGTTGACAAGACAGGTGGGATCTCCTGTTTAAGGGTAAGTGAGGGGCGGATAGGGGAGTCCCGGGCCAGAGCACAGGAGTCGCAGAGGGCGGAAGGTAGAGACTGAGGGCCAGGCAGCGGCACTGCGGTGGGCGCCCTGGAAAGGCTGGCCAGGGATATTCACATTGAGTACAAAAATAATCGTCATTTGAATACAAACAACTGAAAAGTGCTACACGTCTTAACCTCCTTTAAACAAATAAAAAGAAATGAAGGAAAGTTTCCGCAGAGGGCTGCCCGGGTGTGCCCTCTCCTCCTTCCGGGGCTCCTAGGCGTTTCCTGCTTGTGCAGGTACCTGGACTTCAGAGAGGGAAGATGTGGAGACCCACGGCTTGCACCACACTCGGAGGCCCCCCCCTTCCTTACATTCAGCACCCCAATCGGGCGCCCCCACCCTAGCTCTGACACAAGGGAGGGGTGGAGCAGAGGGCCTGAAAACCCAGTCCTTCACTTTTCAAATCAACCCCTGGCCTGGTGCTGCCTGGGACTGCCAGGGTTTCGCACCCCTTGGTTACAAATGCAATTTCCAAAAATAAAAGATATGTAGATACACATAGATTGGTAGCATGGATACCATGAACTAGTGTGGCCTAGTGCAGAAAGCTCCCAGCAGGCCGGAAATTCTGAGGATTCAGGCTATGTGGTCTCCAGGAGTTCCCGCTTAGGGAAAACCCCACCCCCAGGCAGACATAATTCGAATCCAAATTCAACTCCAACATTGTCGTGATAATAAATAGAGCCCAGGGGCTTCCAGGCAGGTGGGCTATCAGGGCCCCTAGGCCATAGGGTGCCTCTGTTCAAATTAGTAAAAGGCGCCCCCTCGGGGCAGACTCAGCCCAGCTGCCAGGGGACAAGTCCTGGCTAACAGGAGCTGGAGCTGGGTTTCACCTCCAGGTGCCTCCTTGGCGGGGCGCCCCGTGCAGGCTACAGCCTACAGCTGTCAGCGGCGGTCCGGAGCCGGGGCGCGGGAATCACTCGCTGCCTCAGCCCAGGCCTGTTCACTGGGTGCCTGCGGCGGCCGCGCAGGTGGACAGCGCCCAGCCTGGGAGGCAGTAGTAGGGGTAATAGTAGGAGGGCTGCAGTGGCAGAAGCGAGGGTGGCCGCAGAACTTCGCCGGGCAGGTATTGTCTCTGGTCGTCGCGCACCAGCACCTTTACCGCCACCTTCTTGGCGGCGGGCGCCGAGGCCAGCAGGTCGGCGGCCATCTGCCGGCGCTTGGTCTTGTAGCGACGGTTCTGGAACCAGATTTTCACCTGCGTCTCGGTGAGCTTCAGCGACGCGGCCAGGTCGGCGCGCTCCGGCCCGGAGAGGTAGCGCTGGTGGTTAAAGCGGCGCTCCAGCTCGAAGACCTGCGCGTGGGAGAAGGCGGCCCGCGACCGCTTCTTGCGTGGCTTGGGCGCCGCCGGCTCCTCCTCCTCCTCCGCGACGCCTGCCGGCCCGCTGCCGCCCCTGCCGCTGGCCCCGCTGCACAGCGCGGACATGTGTGCACCTCTGGGGCCAACACCGTCGTCCTCGGTCCTTGGGCTGCGGTCGCCTGCGGACCCCGGTGGGAACAGAAACAAGAAACTGTCAGCGCCACAGACGAGGTGAGGCCAGGCCTGAACTGCAGGGGTCACGGGGGTGGGGCGGAAATACACTTTGATCCCACTCAAGCGGAGCCGAGGTCTGGGAGGCCCTGCGCCCGGGAGACCAGTCTTAGAATCTTGCCCCACTGGGTATCCCATCTAGGTCTCTTCTGGGGAGGGCGGTGGACTCAGTCGCTGTGTCAACGCTGTGTTGTCGAGACCTGCTCCCCACCCTCTCTGGGTCCTAGGCTCCCCGCAGTAACTTGGGGCACTAGACCCGAGCATCCGCGAAAGCCCTCCCGGCTCTCAGTGCTGAGCATTGGGGTTCTAGACTGCATTTCCGTCTCTCTGCTTGGGTTCACGAGCCTCTCCACACTCAGTTCACACGCACACACGCGCACGTCATCGCAGCACACACTTGTCTAGTGCAGGTAAGGGAAGGTGGAGGCGGATACTGGGGCCAAAGGTATTTAGAATCTTTCACCCTCAGCCGCCTGGAATTGCTGTGAGGGACATGGAAACAGGCTGAGCCAAGGCCTTAGATGAGAGGATGGACTGGAGAGTAAAGAGAGAGGATTGCCACTGCCTCGAGTTTTTGGACCCTGATCCCACACCAGCTTCTCGGTCTCGTACCCGCCCCTCCGAAGAACTCCAGCAGAAAGGTCCAGCTCTCCCCTGTGCTTGAGGCCTACAGAAACTTGTACCCAACTAGGGCGGGCACCCAGGTCTTCCAGACCACAGGACAGGCCAGGCCACGGCTGAGGAGGCCTCTCTCCTGCCTCCGTGATGAACTATAGTCCCACTCCGGGATCCTCGGCCTAGGGCTGCTCTCCCAGACCTGGGGTCTGAGAAAGCCAAACCAGCCGTTTCCTCAAAGCTCTAGTTCTGCAGATTCTCAGCTCTGGCCCACTCGGAGGTATTCTTCACCACCTATCCACCTACTGTGGGGCCCGGCCCTGGGACCTCGAACTGGCAAAGGTCTCTTGTCCAGAGCTAGGGCACTGGCTACTTGAGGTCTCTGCAGCCCTCACTTCTCCGCTTCCCTGATTTTGGGCATTTGGGGACAGACATGGCAGAAAGCACTGGCGACGAACTCAAAGGCTCCCGACCGCAGGAGGCAGCGGTTCTCCCAACCCAGTCTAATGCACATTGACCCAGGACGTCTCAGGCCTCGCCCCAGGACGCCGGGTTCTGAGGAGCTACTCCGGTCTCTCGCGGGCTCAGTTCCCGAAGTGGCAGAGCAGCTCGCGCCAGAGCGCAGAACTTCGGGACCTGGCCAGCCTCCGAGCCCCAGGGCGCAGGGTGCTCACAGCCGACCACCCCACTCGGCGTGGTTGCCCTCCGCGTCCATCCCCTCAGCCCGGCCCCCATCCCCGCGAAGCCGCAGCAGACCTGAGACGCTGGCGGACATCTCGCTGTCGCTCCGGCCCGCGGCTTCCTCCTCTAGGTCTTTGGAAGCGGCCAGCTCACAGACCGGCTGGCCGAGGCTCAAGGATCCCCCCGCGAG